ATCTGAAAATTAATGAAAGCATTGAGGGGGTTATATTTATGGACGGACGCCAACTCGGCACTTTATTGTACCTAGGTAAAATTTAAGCCCTTGACCGACCGGCCAACTGGACACCAAGACTAAATAGAGACCGGCCAATTCGACACTTTACCTGGGCCAACTCGCCACTTTATTGAACTCGCCAACTGAAGGTTTCTAGAAAACGTTTGGGTGATAAAACTCACATAATAATTAATCTAAAAAAGCTTTATTTTAAATGAATAATTTTTCATAGTTATTTACATTACAAGTGCGTTTATGAACATGATTACAATAACGAGTGTGAAAGATTAGAACGACGAAGTCGTAGACCGAGTCGTTCTAATCACACGAGTTTCGTAGTCATGTTTAAAGGGGGTGTGCGCCAAAAATTAAAGTTTTAGTGTAAAAAAATCTAAGAATAACTGTTCAAACCTCGTTATTCTACGATAAACCATCGCTGAGATATACCGCTTTAAAGTGTGGACGACGCTCTCGTGGCGTCACGAAAACTTCGTCCAGCGGCGCTCTGCATTGTTAATTTGATTGTTCCCGGCACGCGTGAGTGGTTTTTGTTTAGATTATTGCAGGTAACACAGGAAAAACATTATGTAAATTTAATTAAATCCACTTTCTCGTGCGTCGCTTGAGCTTTCGTGACGTCATAGGGTGAGATGCGGTACCTTCATAGAGCCATATCTGCGGTATTATTTGTCATAGAGGGGTGCGGATTTCACTGTTATTCTTAGATTTTTTTTCTCTTTTTTTTGAGATGAAGTTGTTTTTTGGCGCACACCCCCTTTAAACGCACGTGTGATGTACAAAGGACCCCGCAATATTTAAATGGAAATTGGTTACCCGTGATATTTGGATGAAATTTAAATATGTTATTGGGGATGCCTTAAGCAACATTTTTTGCCATGGGCACAATCCTGTATATATGACAGATGAGGCGTGGTTAGCTGTCAAATATTGGAATCTTATATCCAAAAGCAGAGTAACTATGGCAGATTTTAATGAACAAAAAATCTATTCCTACTAAGTCGACTAAGTTAAGTCGAAAAATGTCAACCATTTTGACACCCGTCAAAACCCTGCCAAACGGCAGCACTCATCTTTTCCAGTTTTCAATATTTTATGATGTCATTTGACATTTTTAACTTGTTTGTAAATTCTGAATTCAAAATTTGAAAAAAATGACATCATTGTGGATTTCATTTATAAGTGTTAAAATGTTTGAGTACTTTAATGATTTCATTATAGTACTGAGTACTATAATGACTTTAATGAAATAAAATCCCTTATACTAAAACTACATACCTACTTTAAAATGAAAATTAACATCTCTGTCAAAATCTGAAACCTGCGTATAATGTTTTTTCATGCGTTATCATAAATAAGCCTAACTTAAATTGGAAAAGAACTAGATTTGATTCTTTTTTGAATTAAAGCCATTGACAGATTCTGACAGCTGTCAAAATGTGACGTGCGTGAACTTTGTTCAATGTTTTATCACCAACAAACTACCTTAAAACGAGAAAGAACCAGATTAGAGTGTTTTTTTCTACTAAAACAAATGACAGGTTTTGACAGACTTAACTTGGTCGACTTAGAAGGAATAGATTTTTTGTTCATCAAAATCTGCCATATTTACCCTGCTTTTGGATATAAGATTCCAATATTTGACAGCTAACCACGCCTCACCTGTCATATATACAGGATTATGCCCATGGTAAAAAATGTTGCATACGGCATCCCCAATAACATATTTAAATTTCATCCAAATATCACGGGTAACCAATTTCCATTTAAATATTGCGGGGTCCTTTTTATCTACAAAGCGAAAAATAAGAATTTTTTTTTCAATCATTTTCGTTTATTAGTCGTTGTATACCTCCATTTTACCTTTACAGGTTTACCTTGGACATTTGTCAAATCACCAAAAATAGTTGTGTAATGAATTCATAACCTTGTCCATAACACCACTAGTTGTGTTATGAATTCATAAGCTAGTCCATAACACAACTAGTTGTGTTATGAGCCTCATGACATATACCTATACTATATACCTACTATCACAAAGTCTATGCTATTGCCTTGTTATTCTTGTACAAACAAAAAAACGGTAATATTCGTTTAAAAGTTTTTTTATATTTTGTATCTACATATGTGATACTAATTTAACAAAATTGTACTCAGTTAATTCATTATTATCGAGTGCCAGGATTTTTTGATTTAACCCTGCAGTGGTGGCGCCTCTTTTTTAGCATTAGTAGTGGCGCCAAGTCTGAGAGACCCATATGCTTAAAAAATCATGGAATATTGGAAATAGGTGAAATATTTAGACTGGGACCATTATTTTTCATTTTAGAGAGTGTTTGCTTCTATTTCATTGTTAAATGTGAAAATAATTTTTGTTTAGGAGTGCCAAAAATTGACAGAAATACGAAAGGTCCATAAACAGTGAACAATAAAACAACATAAAAGAGGAAATTAAAATATATCAGTAAAGGCTTGAAAGAGACTCCCAAACTACTTTTTTTTTCTTAACTATAATCTACAAAACACATTTCGTATAAAATTAAGGTATTAGCTTACAAATGAGACACATAAAAACAGCATGTGATAAACAAATAAAGTTTTCGATTTTGACCATGTTTTTTTCAGACAGAACCATCTTTTCTAATGAAAGTAGGAAATCGAGGAATTTATGCACTTGGTTCTGCTTCTGGTTTATCTTCACCATCTTGCTCCCACGATCGTTCCTCAATATTGTCTTCCTCTGCTTCAGACTCCTCATCATCAAAATTTCCCTCGGTATCAGTCTCTACTTCCTCCAATAACATAAGCACTCGAGGTTAATCTTTTTCATAACTCATAATTATACAAATTCATAAGAAATACAATAATTGTACATATAAACTGAACTTACAACAGACTTACCGGAGGTGGAAATATTCTGAAACACCGCCATCGGCACATCGCCAGCAGTGGCGCCAAGTCCACCAGACCCGAAACTATTACCAAGCCGCTCAATAAAATATTTAGCACATAACACTTATGACGTTCGCTAGTAAACTATATTATAGGAAGGTACTGGAACGGCGAAGACCGCAAATTAATCCTCACACTTTTTTAAAATTGGATTATGAAGCTCGGGCATGAGAGACTGGGCGCCACCACTGCAGGGTTAAGAAACATTCTGCTTGTTTAACTTTTTTAGTTTTAACAATAATAATGTTATTAATACTTTGAATTTTTACATAAATCAAGCATTGATATTCAATAATGATGGTCTCTATTAGGATGCGCAATGAGAATGAAGTGACTCGCAGGGGTTAGTTGTTGAAAATAGATTACTGCTCTTTGAAGCCCTCATCGGAGGAGGAAATGCTGAATTTTCTGAGATGTAATTGTCAATTTTGGGGCATAAAATACCTATGCCAAAATTAATCCCCTAAGCAATAGAGTGCTCAGTTGACCTATCCTCTAGACAATAGAGTGCTCAGTTGGCCTATCTCTTAGGGGCTCTTTGAAAACTACCTGCGTTTGATGGTGTCGAGTTGGCCGGTCTACGTTTATGACCTCAAGAGTTTGGTGCCCAGTTGGCCTGTACCCATATTTATACCTGCTCATAAATAATTCAAAATGATTTAAATAATTCACCAATGGCACCAACGCAACGCACTTACTAATCAACGCTAACGCTTATAGCAAAAAATGGCGCGACACGACACAAACACCTGATCACAAATGAGCGGGCTCATGCTACATGCTCGCACGGAAGCAATAATTGGAATGCACAGAAAAATTACAAAATAAACCATTATGGCCGCTTCGGGTTGTTTCGCGAATAGCCAAAGCCAATAACGGCCCGCTGAAGTTCATTATGGCTATAACGCACATTTTAAAGACTGAAAATCAACTTTATAGTTGTTAAAAAAAGTATATCGATGGTTATGAAGATCAATTTTAAAGATCGGGTGTAGTAACCATATTAAAGTATCTAGCTACTGTAGTAAATTCGTATGAAGAAATTTGAATACAATACATCAGTAAATTAAATTTTTAACAAGAGTAAAGTATTTTATAAGAGCTCATAGATAACTATAGGTGATAATGAGGATAGTTCAACAAAAAATTTTTAGCAACCATAAAAATACGTTATTCAGTAATAGATAGATAATTTATGGTAGTTATTAAAGATATTTTGTCTGCAATAAAGAAAATTCCAGTAAGACAATTTAAGAATTCAATTTCCTCAGTGCGAAAAAAGTTTAAATTGCCAGAAGCCCATGCCACTTTCATTTAAAAAAAGAAGTGGAAAGACAAGATTTGTGTGCGGAAATTTAAATTGAAATAGTATTGTCAGCTAAGTTGGTTATTTGGTAGAGATCAAATCATTCAAATCCCTTGACCCCTAACAATATTTTTAGTGGTGAGCGAGAAAATACCGAGGTAAAAACATCATCAAACTTCAATCACCTAGAAACATTTTTTGGAAGCTCAAAATAACCATTTTTCGGCGTGGCACCCGGAAAAATTTTCGGGCATTTATTCAATTTCTTAAATTAGTAATTTGGAATAATACAACAATCCACGCGCCGCCACTGCCTGTATGCACCCCCCTGAAACTAATCCTGGCGGCGCCCATGCACACACGCCTTTAAACTTAAAATAAATATCTAAAAACGCTGCAGGAAATTTTGCAGGATAACTCCAGATTCGGATGCAGAAAAAATAATTGACCACTAAATTTTTTGCAACGAGAGGACGTTTTCCGACACCGTTCGACTGCATTACTCTGATAACAGACTGTACAATAAAAAAATAAACAGCAAGATAAATAATATTGATTTATTTTTTATTTACTAAATAAAAATATTCTCAATATTTCTTTAACTTAATAATAATAATATATTATGTACATTCAAACTGCAAAAAAATCAAAATAATTTATTTAAACAATTTGCACAGTTTGTGTGCGTATTCTGTAAAGTAGAAAGAAAATGTAAGACTTAAAAATTTACTATTTTCAATAAGACCTAAAAGTAAAATAGGTAATTATTTATTTCAATATTTTGACACAGCTGATATTACAAAATTGCAATGTTTCCTAAATTGTTCAGACCCTGTACATATGGTAATCCGTAGACCAAAATCTACAACAATTATTTTGCTGGAGCTTCTTGAATTTCTATGTCTAATTTCAATTTAGGTGGTTTGAGTCTATAGCGACCTTACCTTGTCTCACAAATATTGACTGGCGAAATACATGTACCTAAGTAATTTAAATAGAAAATAACCGTCAATTCTCGTAAGACAAAGTATTATAATTTGATTATTGAAACTAAAAGGACAATAGTTTTTCACAAATTACAAGAATTTCTAATATCACAATTACCTAAATATTAATAGCACAATTTATTTAGTAGATAACAAATTTAATTTAAAATTTGGTATTTTATCACTATTATTCATCATTACCTATAATATAAAGGAGAAGGAAATCGACACTCACTTTTTTTCAACAAAAAAATACATCATCAATGTTTTGATATTATGCTAGGAAGCACCATAATATAATCACTTTCTGGTGACTTATCTAGAAAAGTTCACTTGAGAAAGAATTTGGCACTGGATATTTTGAATTTAGGTAGGTGTGTACCAATACTGAGAAAAAATCTATGATATTGGCACAATGTCTGCTAAGGTTGAAAGAATTTTTTTATAAACTTATAAGAGCATTATTTATCAAATAATGAAAACTGCTTTTGTGGGGACAAAATACAATTAGCCTCATTTTGGGCAGGTCCAATAAAGTAACCTGTTGGCACATTCAGGAGTTATTTTTTTACCGACTTGGCACAGAGTTTTGTAGTTTAAATCATTAAATTTTTGCAATCTATAGTCCAAGCATTCTTTAGTTTTGTATAGTATATTATGGGGCTTTCTATTTAAAGTTATTTACATTAACTTCAATTTATTAGACTGCAAAATAGATTCTTAAATTCATCATTTTCTCAAAAAGCTTTAAGCTTAACCCTATTGCCCATTATTGGTATATTTTATCGTTTTATTCTACTGAAATTATTTGGGGTTTGTTTATTCAGATATTGATGATATTTGAAAATTACCTGAATTACAAAATGGCTGATACTTTATTTTGTCAGTGAAAATAAATTTTTAATGTACCTAATGCACCTATATGCTTTGATTGTCCTGGATGACTAATTTTTAAGTAGGTATTTAAATTAATATTATACATTTGTTATTTTGTTGACCCAAAAACCAATAAAAATTAACAAGGTACTATTTGGCCAAGCAAAAATCTAAATTTTGGCACAATACGGCCTTTTTGATCCCATTTTAAGTCGTTTATTAGTTGATTCTTTATTTCAAAGTAGTTTGCAAGAAAATGATCTTCAACAATATATTTCCTAAATTTGTCTACTGAACTACAATACTGCTCTAGCTTCAGTTTTTCAAGAACTGTTAGCAAGGCACAATTTCTTAGTTGACAGCGCAGAGGCGCTTTAATCTTGTGAGTAGAGGATGTTTTGTTATATATTTTACTTTTTTGTAAGTACCTATGTATTGTAATAATAGTTTCAACAAAGAACAAACTTATAGAATTTAATGTCAAAGTGAAAGTAAAGACAAGCACATTGTTTTGTCTATAATTCTTGTCTAATATTTAAAAACCATGACTAATTTTTGAAAATATTAAAAAAAAAAAAAATGTATGTAGGTATTTACCTGAATATTTATGGCAAGTTTATTCTAGTTAACACCAAACCGTGCAGCAGTAGATTATATTGCAAAACAAATTTGTGTTTTCGTGCTAAGGATAATGTTTGCCAAACTGTATTTATCGAAAACAGCTTTGACAATGACATAAGTCTACTAAGATTATGAAAATTAGATTAATTTTGTATTGGAAATGAGGAGAATATTAAGTTAGACTTGAAAAATCCATTCAGGCTTCACTTGGAAAAAAAATACATTTAGACAATATTCCATCAAATTTATGCAATATACTACAGTGATCAACCCACACACTAGCCCAAACTTCCTGTTTAACAAAGATAGCCTTCATGCGAGTTTAGTCGTGAGCCAAGCCTCTCTGACTAAAAAACAACCGGTCGGAAAGTTGAGGAATACTAAAAAATATTTAGATAATATTATTATTATTACCTAGGTTCACCAATAAGAGTAATGAAGAAAGAAGTTGGAAAACAGTGTTTACCTATTCAAAAATGGAAGAGAGCCAGGACTAGAAGAAATATATTATGGGGAACCTTATAGTGTGGAAGCAATAAACTTCACAAACACCTGACAAAACTATCCCAAACATACATAGATATAGATCACGAAGTAACGGAAGAGTGGAAAATAAACTACCTACCTAACAACGATATGTGAGAAAAAAGACAGAAATAAATTAACTAGGCATTGCAGTGACAAATACGTTAAGCACCTTATATGGAAAAAACATGCCTTCTCTTCACCTTTGGGTAAAAAAGAGGCAAGAATAAATGCCTAAAGGCTATTCTAGGTAGAAAATCTTCAACCTGGAGATCTGATGGGCCACTTGCACATCTTGGAGTCCATAAAGCTAGTAGAATGCCAGAGTAAGTCAACAGATCAAATGTCGGCATCACTTGACTTCATTCACACTACTTATTTGAAATAGTAGTATAGGACCTCCAGTCATGGAAAAACATGATATTATGACGATGATTAAAGTGACGCCAACGGACAACGCGTCACAACAGTACACAGATGGTTCGGACCTATAGCGCCTCAATAATGGGAAAAATGCTTACAATATTTAAAGTCGTACTGTTCGCTATAAATATCTGTCTCTTAGAAAATGTGTGTTTTGAGACATATCCATTGAAAGTTCATAATGCTAGCTCTAAAAAATGGTGGACTAGGTTTTGCTAGATGTCTTTATCATTTTGGGGAAAAAAATTTAGCCAGGAAGAGGGCAGGAGGCTAGAGTTAACCTGCCACACCCCCAACTCTCATTTGAAAGCAACCTTTTTACTCAGGTGTACTACCTTTAAAAAACTGTGCGCTAGGTATCTTTTATCCAGCCGTGGGGACTAGTGTTAACCTCAACGCAGCTGGTGAATAGCTAAAGAAGAAGTTAATTTAAGAGTTACAGCTTTGCCTACAAGGTCTTTTCTTTTGAAATGAAAATAAGGGAATTATTTATTATTGTCTAATTTGAAGCAGGACACTCTGTACCTAAATACCTACTTAATTTATTTTGTACAGCGAGATTCAAAATAAACTTACCGTATCAACTATATGTAGGTATGCCTTTACAGGATGATATTTTTGTTTTAGGATCAAGCGCCGAGAAGTCCTGCCGGCACATTTTTACAGCTCTCGGTTCTCAGTATCTGTCAGATATTTAGGTCACGGGCAGTACGACGACGATGGCTTGGTCATCGTCGCCTGGAGAAGAATGGCGAACCGACGAGTATAATATGTAATAATAATTACCTGAAGGTTTTGCCATTGATAGGGTGTTATTGGAATAATTAATTAGGTACCTGTGTTGTCAGTTTTTGTGACATACTGAGTCTTTGACGATACCTATCTGACCAAAGCGTTAGTAGGTACCTAATATTCTTCAATATCTACGCCGTTTTATTTTTCCCTAGACAAACAACAAAACCCCTACATTGATGAATAAATAGTGATTTTTCTAATCTAAATGTGTAACAATTAATTATTTATCTAATATGGGTAGACAAAGATCTTAATAAAGAAACAACAATTTCATTATGTTGGTCGACTGATAACGCAGAGAAACAATCCATTGAGGTTAAAAAACTACTCATTAATAATTATATTTTAGTCTTCCTTGGACCAGAAGAAAAATTTAGGCACTTAGTAGAGTGGCGGTAAGATGTTATAGGGGCTGCTATAATTGATCAGAAGGTACATGGCATTCTATGGGGCTGGATTGTCCACCGCGACTACTTTTGAGCTGTCGCTCGTGCTGCAGTAACTGATGTGCCGCACGATCCATTTCTTCTTGAGTCATATCTAGAGCTTCTTGCATCTCTTTTGAAGTATTTCTCACAAATTCTGGATCGCAAAATTTGCCTACAACAATAAGTATTATTTAAATAATTTATCAAATATTGTCCTCAATTATTACTTGTTACATTTTACACTGAGTGGGCCAATGAAAACGAAAAATGGTCATATTTATTTGTAAAAAAATGAGATTCTTTCGTGAATGTCTCCTTTTTCCGGTAAAAAAAGTTTACTAAATGCAGCGCCTAAGCCCTGGTTTCCTCGAAAGCGGCACCGTCAAATAGCGGCCGTAATATTACGGCGAATGACGTCACAAAAAATTGTTCAATGCTTTTCATTGAAAGTGGTTTTCAAATTTCAAGGTATAGTTAGAATCAACTAACAAAAACCCCTGGCCTGAAGAAGGCAAATTTCCCTTTCTCTAGGGCGGTGGCTTCTTCTTAGTTGGTTTTATCTATAGCGGCGAGAGTCACCGTAAACGTAATGACAAATATTTCCACCGCTATATGACGGTCGCTATTTGACGTTGCCGCTTTCGTGGAAACCAGGGCTGTAGGAATCTCTGGTGCATGAGATTTGAAGCATATCATAAACTTTTCAATTCCACCATCAATGCAACAACTTGTCATAAAAATGTATTATCAACCTTGGCCACAAAAGACTCGCTACGGTTCTCACCTTGACATGAAATGCAGCGTTTTTATAACTATTTCTGATGCGAGTGGATTACCTTGAATCTGTGTGGCTTCGGTCCATAGCCGAAACGGCCATGTTTCTATAACATTGAACGCTTTTTGGTAATCTATAAATGCGAGGTGGAATGGTACACGTACTTGCTACTATGAGCAATTGAATCTGGCATGGAATGATTCACAAGTGTTTGCCGTACGAGTGTGATGGTCGAACTCTTGTTGGTCCGTATATGTGGAGGAAATTGGACATCTTTGTTGAATGTAACTTCCAACAAATAATCGGCCTAACTAATGTTGACCGTTTGGCTTGAACGACATCAAGTCAAAAAAATTTCATACCAAATTAAAGGTAGTTCTGCAAAAAGGTAATAAGACTTATGAGGGGTGTACACGAGAGAGCGTTTTTAAAAAACTTTATTTGACTAATACAATAGAACTGACTTAAATCTAAAAATTACTCCTTTTATAATATAAAAAATAAGCTGAATAGAACAATATAAATGCTGAATTGGAGTTCTCACGGGATATAACTCCTCCATCCTAAGTTAAAAGCATACCAAAAAAAGGTATGGTTTTATACAATGGAAAAAATAAAGAAAAGAAAAATATGATTAAACTAAATAAGTAAAAGTAAAATTGTTAAATTACAATATCGTCTTCTAACGAGGCTTTTTGGGCACGTTTAAGGCGATGTTTCAAAAGTAATTTATAGACAGTAAAAATGCATAGTATTCCTAAAATACAATAAAGTAAAATTGTCCAAAAATTTATTTGGTGCATTTCCATTGGGTTGGATATTTCTTGTAGTCGACTCTTCTGTTCTTGAAGCGTTGTGGCAATTTCATTGGTTTCCTTCAAGTTGATGGAGTTCAGGTCAAGTGTAGGTGGATTGAAAGCAAACTCCTTTGTTTGGTAATAATTCATCGATAAATTCAGTGTAGGCAAGGAAACATCATCATAAGTCAAACGATTGGGCTTATAAGTTCGTGAAGTAATTGACTTTATTTGTAAGCTGCATTCATTTGTAGATTCGGCTAAGTAGGAACCATGACGCGGTACGTTGTCCTTAGAGTTTGGACAAGATGCTGAGACAATTAGTTGTTCGGGCGTCGTGATTATCCATTTTCCGTCCGTTATTTTAGTGATTTGGACATTTTGTAGTCTGATACGGAAAGGGTGGCAAGTAGTGGCATTTTCTTTGTATAAAATCAATTGGACTGCACATGGAGGCTCATGATCAATGTATGCAGTATGGGCTTCCTTACATAAGTACTCGTTGGGTAACAATTGGTTGCAGGTTTGGTCCATATAAGAGTACTTGTTGTTGCTAAGTGCAAGGTATGGTTTGTGTGGAAAGTTCCTAAAGAAATCAGGATTTTGTTCGCTTGGAATTGGTATCGGAAATAATTGATAATAGTGATAGACATCCGATTCGACCAATGGTATTTCCAAGATGAAGGTGAATAATCAGGCCCTTTGAATAACCTTTAATCTCGATTATTTTTTCGTAATTCAATATGTTATCAATATTGGCTTCTAATGGTAACACATCATGCACTAATTGTTTTTTAAATCTAAAAATTTCTTTTATTAGCTCTAATGGATCGATTATCGAATTATGGAGCGTATTGATTTTAGCAAATGAGATAGCTACTTCCGTTTTTTCTAAGATATCATAAATTGTTTGATATAGCATTGATATCTGATTAATTATTATGTGAGTTTGGAAGTATTGATGGTTGTCAATAGCAGACAGAGCTACCTTTTTAATTGTGCTTTCAATTTGCAGTATTCTCGATTTTAGCGTTATTTGATTGGCAGATATATTAGAGATAACGTTTTGGAATTGTTCTATGGTTTTCCCTAATAAATTAATTTGATTAAAAGATGAATTTTTAAGTTTATCTTGATTTTCTTGTAATTGTCTAATTTGCCTATCATAAAGATCTGCATCATCTTTATCAAGATTGCCAGTAATGCATTTTACTAATGATCCTAAAGGATTCAAGATGCCACGTTTTTGTCTTTTTGAGTAACTACTCGTTGGGTCAATTTGCATTATGTTGTTTTCTATGCGTTTTTCTAATGCCATTAAAGGCAGCAACGTGTTTTTATATTCTCGTTCATAGGATAGGTACATTAATCGTAATGTTTTTAATTAGATAGTTAGCGTTTTCTTTGATCAAATAAAATTCGTTAACAAGGGGTGTTAGGTCTTGAATTTGAATTAATGACCAATGATTGGAAACTATTTTGGCAGTTCCCAATTTATAGGGTAGGAGTCCGGGATATTTATTCAGGTTATGGAAGTTTATTCCTACTGCTCCGATGTTGAAGATTCGGATCCATCTGTAACAATAGATTTGATTTTGGTTTCGTTGATATGCAAAATCTCTTTTCGATTTGTTTTGCAGTTTTCAATTTCAATCTTGTTGTTTTCTAATATTTTTGTTAAGATGAATGGACCTGTGAATCTGTGGTGTAATTTACCACGTCGTTTGTCTTGTTTTTTATATATTTGACACCCTATGGTTAGCTTTTGAGGGGTCTTCTTTTGATTATGTTTGTCAATAAGTTTTTGTTTTAAATTAATTGAGTCTTGTTGTATTTTGTTATACAAAGCTTCCGTGTTAGTTTTGTGATTGTGGACATATTCGGTGAATATTTGCGCGGGCATAAGTTGCATAGGGTCACTAGAAGTGTGTCCTAAAATCAATGTATAGGGAGTAAAGCCTGTGCTTGAATGGATTGTGCTATTATAAGCAATTACAGCATAGGACATTAGGGTTGATACGTCAGTGTTTTTGTTTTTTTCTCGTAGTATTCTTATGTGTTCTATCAGGGTCGAGTTTAACCTTTCAACTGGCGAATTCGACTCGTGATGATTTGGAGTAGTAAAATGGATTTTAATATTATGTGTTTTTAATAAATCCTTAACTAATTCGTTCTTGAATTCTGTTCCATTATCAGATAAAATACAATCAATTTAGGAAAACCGAAAAATGAAAAGAAATGGATTAGATTTTGGGATACTGATATGGCTGTGCCAACGCAAGGAAGGGCTTGTCCATATTTGGAAAATTTGTCTATAATTACTAGGAATTTTTGTTTATCTACAAGGAGCGTATCGAGGTGAATAATCTCGAAGGGTTTTGAAGGTGTTTCTGTCAATACAAGAGGTTGGTCTGGTGGACTCCTATTATACTTAGTTCTTTGACATATTTCACATCCATTAATAAATTTAGTGACGTCAGATTTCAGGGATTTCCAATAATAATTAATTTTCAAGCGTTTTAGGGTTTCCTGTATTCCTCGATGGTTAGTTTTGCCTTCGTATGAAAATCTTATTATCATTTCTCTTTCCTCTGGTTTAACATTATTAATGAGTTTTGTGCATTCTACAAGCTTGAAATTACAAAAGTGTTTAGATAATGCTTCTTGAAATAAAACACGTAATTCTTTTGATAAAAAGTGCACATAGGTAGTTTTCTCTGTAAGGTTTTCTTTCAGAAAATTTACTATCGCTTCTTGTTTCGTGGGAATCGTTGCTCGAATTATCCTATTACCGTCGAAGGTTTCAAATTCTCTTTTTATGTAGGCGTCGTATGGTGATTTTTTCACAATTAATTGATTCGTTTTGTTGTTAATTATTTCGTCTAATATTGGGATTTGATTTAGGGTTTCGTCTGCGTTTGTACTATGAGCAGTGTCAGTACTGGACGTATTATCAATTGGTGGTTTAATTTGGATATCTTCAAGAATTTTTATTCGAGAGGTTGAAGGCTCTTGAGAAGTTGAAGGCACTGGAGGTAATTCAACCGGTCGATTAAGTTCGTTTATGATTTTGTTATATTCGTCAGTGTGAACTTTTTCTAGAAGATTTTTATCGATTTCGTTTAGAAATTTATCGATGTCAGTTGTAATATCTCCTGGATTATTAAGGAGAGATTCTGTTTCTAAAGCGTTGAGTGGAATTCTTGGAAGAGTGTTGGCGTTTGTATTTTATTTGCCGCTTTTATATATAATGGTGTAGTCGTATTCTTCAAGCTTTAATCTCCATCGAATAAGTTTTGAACCTGGCTCTTTTACATTGAAAAGCCAGACTAAAGGTCGGTGATCTGTATATATTTGAAATTTCCTTCCAAATAAATACGGCCTAAAGTATTTACATGCCCAGATGATAGCGAGCAATTCTTTTTCAATTGCCGAGTATCTCTGTTCTGTTTCATTTAGCGTGCGGGAAGCATACGCTACGGGATGATCGTTGGGGGGTGTTGATTGAGATAAAACTGCACCGAGAGCTGTATTAGAAGCATCGGTTGTTAATACGAAGGGCTGTGTGAAATCAGGGTATTTAAGGATTGGGGAATTAAT